AATATGACACCAAATATTTATTCATCTACATCTTTAACTTAAGTAAAAATGTCAGCTAGAGCTTCCTTCTCTTAAAAAGTGCAATACATTTTTATATTTATTTTAATATTAAACTTCTCTTAACATAAATTTTAAGTTATATACTGCTAAATCGATAAAATTATCTTATTTATTTTTGTAAAAAAGAAGTTCAGACATTGTGTAGATTTGGAATTAATTAAAATAGAGCGTAAGAAGAATTCTATTCTAAAGTTGAATGGCTTTATTTTTAAGAAATAGAATAGATAATTTTTATATGAATAAATTAATTTATACTAAATTTGAGTTATATGATTGATTAATTTATATTCTAGTTAATCCTTACTTTAGAAATGAATCAGGCTGAACACAAGTTTGCTCACTACCTGATATTTGTAATATTGGGTTTGGATTTTTAGTTGAAATGATAAATATAGGGAATTTCAAACAATTCACTTTAATTTAAATGTTTTATTGGAATGGGTGAAAATGAATAATATTTTTTTGCATTTTTTAGTTATTTTTATAAATGTATAAAACACCTAAACATCATATTAGTAGCTAGGAGTTAGTAGGATTCTCTTAAGAAAAAATCAAATCTCTGAAGATTTTCATAAAAAACTATATGCTTAAACAGTGATGATTAACTAGAATATAAATTAATCAATCATATAACTCAAATTTAGTATAAATTAATTTATTCATATAAAAATTATCTATTCTATTTCTTAAAAATAAAGCCATTCAACTTTAGAATAGAATTCTTCTTACGCTCTATTTTAATTAATTCCAAATCTACACAATGTCTGAACTTCTTTTTTACAAAAATAAATAAGATAATTTTATCGATTTAGCAGTATATAACTTAAAATTTATGTTAAGAGAAGTTTAATATTAAAATAAATATAAAAATGTATTGCACTTTTTAAGAGAAGGAAGCTCTAGCTGACATTTTTACTTAAGTTAAAGATGTAGATGAATAAATATTTGGTGTCATATTAAAAATATTTCGAAAAAAGAAGACTGTTTTGGATATCTTTCAGATAAAGGAAATTAGCAAAATTTAGAATAATCAAACTTGAAACAAGGATAGCTCTTAAACCATGATGATAAGGAATAAAAATTGCATGATGTAAAAAATAGCATGAAAAAATCACTGATGTCTTTAAAAGAAATTAAGGATCATTACTTCAATCAGATAAATGATTCAAGTTAAGACAACTAAAAATCTATAGAAAACCTTATAAAAAGAATAAGGGATGATACACAATTCATAGAATCATAGGAATTTTTAGATCACCTCTTTTATACAATGTAGGACCTGAGAAACAAAAATTTTGAAAATATTTCGATCTAAAATACTTCTTTAGTAGGAGCTAATTTTCCTCGATCTAATTTAAGTGTCTCTGAATTATATATAATGTTAAAATTTATGGAATGAATTTTATTAGAGAATTAATAAGTGAATTATAAATTGGAAAACTTAAGTAACCATGAATTAAAATAAATCAAATTGTCATAGTGATTATGGTAAATCTGTCTGTTTTTCTCCTGATGGAAATACTTTAGTTTCTGGTAGTAATGATGGGTCTTTCCTTCTATGGGATGTATAAAAAGGATAATAAAAAGCTAAATTGGATGGTCATAATGTCACTGTCTCATCAGTTTGTTTTTTTCCTAATGGAAATATTAGCCTCTAGTAGTGATGAAAAAGTCTACCTGTCTATGGGATATTCATCTATCTGTTTGTGGGATATTAAGACAAAATAATCAAAAGCTGAATTAGATAGTCATACTATTAAAGTCAGGAAAAGGAATAGAATCCTCAAATAATAGCCCCAATAATGTTTTCTTATAAGATAAATCTCCATTCTTTTAAAACAAACTTTTTCCAGATATTAATTTTAACAATTATTCAGGCTTCACTCATATAAATATTCTACTATATCCAACAAGTCAATATTTTAAGTAACTTATATTTTTAGAATTATAATTATATCTCTCCAATACTTGTATGATTATAAAGTTAGTTTTACAAGTAATGTGCTAGTTATTTAAATTCTTGTTAAATTTATTAATGAAGAATAAAAGAATAAATAAATTTAATAATTTATAATTAATCTTTGGAGAATTGTCATTCAATATATTCCAAATATTTTTTAGTTGATTCAAATTCTCTATATTTTCTACATTTTCTGTAATGCATTATATTTATGCAAAATGTTCATAATAGGTGAAAGGTTCTTTGTGATTTTGGAAAAAAAAATGTTTATTACTGATTAGTAATAAAATTCGTAAATTCTAGATACTAAAATTCTAGATTTTTGAATATTCTATGAGGTCATTGTTATTATATGCCTCAATAATCCAGTTACTTTAGAGGATAATGATCTGGAATATGGCAATCTAAAAACGAAAGTGTATATATATTTTATATTAATAAAGTTGGAATGTAAGTTGCTAAAGAGTGTACAAAGCATGAGCTTGCTTGGCAAGTTGATCTCTAAAGAAATAATATGAATTTATTTGCATCTTTTTTGATACAAGTTAAATATGATATTTATTGATAATAACTCTTCAATGTAACTTAGTCTTCCGCTAGAAATAAATAAAAACTTCAATATTAATCTAATTAGAATATTCTTATAGATATATTTATTATTTCTATTTCAGGTGAATATAAATATTAAGCATTCTTTTCATTATCAGCTAATTATTTGCTATGATTACTTCACTTTTAATTTAGCTTTTCTAAGTATCTTGAGCATTTTTTTTAGACAAATTAGATTTAAATATCCTAAAACTTTGCTCTATTGGATGATTACTTCCATTATCCTTTGTAAGACTAACAATTGAGAGAATTAATAATATTCCTTGAACCTAATAACACTGAATTATTTCTTCCTTTTTTGAAATTTGAAATTTGAAATTCATATAAAATAGTTTAAAAAGGTAGCTAAATTATGTTTTTTAAAACTTACCTTTCTCAATTAAATTCTTTGTTCTTATGATTATTTATAATTTCCTTGTCCCTTATAAATAGATAATACATAACTTTCTAATTCCTTTGTATTCAAA